AACTTGTAATATCTAGGAATAGTTGGCCAGATCATCACATCTTTCCATTCACTAGATAACGGGAATGGGCAGAGAAACAGAGACTCACAGGGGAAAGTGCAGCTGGGAGTTCAGGGGCTAGACTGAAATTACTACGAACAATTTGCTGGGATGAACTTCAAAGCTAAAAATACCTCTTTGCTGTAAACTAGGGAGTCTCTCCATATGGGAAAGCTGTGTGTAGTTGGGTGGGTGTGAATCTCCTAGCCAAGGCCAAGCACCTCTGAGTCGTGAGTCAGGCCCCCAGAGTCCTTTGAGTTCATGTTCTCCAGCTTTATGCTACAAATAGGGCCCACCTATACATGTGCCCGATGCCTGCTCCAATGCGCCAGTGCCAATTGGCACGCTCCGGCAACCTCGGCATCATGTGCATTCAGCATCCTTGCACTTCAGACAGGTGGCAGGGGCACTTTTCCTAAAGCTCATCCAACAAGCTTTAGTTAAAGCACCCCCACCGCCATTTAGAAGTGCAGGACACTGAATACAAGGGACACTGTGGACGCTCTTGAGAGCTGCTCTTATTTAAGCGCCCCTCCCCCCACCCCAGAGCACGTGTAACGATGCCCAGGATGTCTAAAAATATATTTTTTTAAACGAACATGGAGATTCTCCCCTAATTGCATGACTCTGGAAGCTTGAGCTGAAGGAAAAACACCAAGGGAATTAAGTAGTAATGACACAACTAACATTAGCCAAGTGAATGGTATTTTGGGCCACTGCGCAGACTTTAGATCCTATTGGCCCCTGCACACTACTCTGTCCTTCTGAGCACTCTTGGAAGGGATTAATGCACATTCCAATAACATTTCTTTTGCTTTAAGCCTAAATTGAATAATATAGCCCTAGCCCCTATGCATATTAGTAAAGCTTTTAGTTTGTTTTTACTACCCTGACCACACACACTTCACATAAAGTGCCATGAGTTAGGGCTTCACATAAAGTGCCATGAGTTAGGGCCCCCGCCCCAACAGAAGTCTACCTGTTGGGCCGGGGAGGTGGAGAGGGAAGGATCAAGCTTCATTTTTGAGCCAGTCGAGCGGAGCAGCTGCCTGCCGGAAGCCTCTCTCCCTCCCTCCCATCTCTGGTGCTGTCTGCAGGAAGGGAGGGGGAAGAAGGGAGGGGGAGACAGCTGTGGGCTGGGGTTTTCCCAGTCTCAGCTGAAGGGGGAAGGTGCTGGAGGTCCACGAGGCTGGGGGGCTCCAATCCATCTGCCCCTTCCAGTTCAGGCTGGGTAAACCCCAGCCTGCAGCTTGCTTCCCCTCCCTTTCCCCCTCTCCCTTCCTGCAGACAGCAGC